TGGAATTGCTGGGTCATATGGCAACTCTGTTAAATTTTTTATTTTTAATTTACTGATTTTAGAGAAAAGAAGGGAGAGAGAGAGAGAAAGAAACATTGATTTGTTGTTTCACTTATTTATGCATTTCTTGGTTGATTCTTGTATGTACCCAGACGAGGGATGGAACTCACAACATTGGCATATTGGGATGATGCTCTAACCATCTGAGCGACCCGGCCACCAAACTGAGAAACCACCAAACTTCCACAGTGCTATACCATTTCACATTCCCGCCATCAGTGTTTGAAGATTCCAGTTACTCCACATTCTTACCAACACTTGCTATTGTCTGTATTTGATGATAGCCATTCTAGTGGGTGTGTAGTGATCTCTTATTGTGGTTTTGATTTGCATTTTTCTAATAGCTAATGATATATATTCTCTTTTTAATTTTTTTTCATCCTCACCCGAGGACGTTTTTCCATTTTTTGTTCAGATAAAGTGGGAGGGAGAGAGAGGAAGAGAGAGAGAGAGAGAGAAACATCAATGTGGAAGGGACACATCAAATGGCTGCCACCCGCACTACCAACCAGGGCTGCAACCGAGGTACGCGCCCTTAACAGGAACCGAACCTGGGTCTCTCTGGACCGCAGGCCAACACTCTAACCCCTGAGCCAAACCAGCCAGGGCTGGCTAATGATATTTAAAATGTTTTCACATGCTTATTGTTGATTTGTACATCTGTAGAGAAATGCCTACTCAAATCCTTTGCTTATTTAAAAAAGTTATTTGGCCCTGGACGGTCTGGCTCAGTGGTTGGAGGGTTGGCCCATGGATCGGAGAGTCCTGGGTTTGGTTCCCGCTAAGGGTGTGTAGCTCGGTTACAATTTGTCCCCAGCCCCGCTTGGGGTCGTGTGGGTGGCAACCACTTGATGTGTCTCTCTCACATTAATGTTTCTCTCTCTCTTTCTCCCTCTCACCTTCCCACTCTATCTGAGAATAAAAGCAAAAATGTCCTCAAGTGAGGATTAAAAAAAAAAAAGTTATTTGTCTTGCCCTGGCCGGTTTGGCTCAGCGGTTAGAGCGTCAGCCTGCGGTCCTGAGAGACCCGGGTTCGGTTCCCGCTACGGGCATGTACCTCCGTTGCAGTTTGTCCCCGGCCCTGGTCGGTTGTGCGGGTGGCAGCCACTCGATGTGTCCCTTTCACGTCGATGTTTCTCTCTCTCTCTCTCTTTCTCTCTCCCCTTCCACTCTACCTGAACAAAAAATGGAAAAATGTCCTCGGGTGAGGATAAAAAAAAAAAGTTATTTGTCTTGCCTGGCCAGTGTGGCTCAGTGGTTGAGCGTCATCCCATGCACCAAGAAGTTGCCAGTTCAATTCCCGATCAGGGCACATGCCCAGGTTGTGGGCTTGATCCCAGGTGGGGGGGTATGCAGGAGTCAGCCAATCGATGTTCTCTCTCATCAATATTTCTCTCTTTCTCTTCCTAAAATCAATAAAGAAAAAAATATTTTTAAAAAAGTTATTTGTCTTTTTATTATTGAGTTGTAAATGTTCTTTATATGTATGGATGCATGATTTACAAATATATCTGTAGAATATCTTTTCACTTTCTTAATAGTGTACTTTGAAACACAAGTTTTACTTTTGTTTTTGTTTGTTTTTTTAGAGAGAGATAGGAAGAAAGAGAGAGAGAAACATCGATGTAAGAGAGGAACACCAATCAGCTGCCTCCTGCTCACCCCCAACCGGGGATTGAGCCCACAACCCGGGCATGCACCCCTACTGGGAATTGAACTGGGACCTCTTAGTCCATGGGACGATGTTCAATCCACTGAGTTTTACTTTTTTTTTTTTTTTTATCCTCACCTGAGGACATTTTTCCACTTTTTATTCAGATAGAGCGGGAGGGAGAGAGAGGAAGAGAGAGAGAGAAACATCAACGTGAAAGTGACACATCAAGTGGCCACCACCCGCACGACCCAACCAGGGCCAGGGACAAACTGCAGCCAAGGTACGTGCCCTTAGCAGGAACCGAACCCGGGTATCTCCGGACCACAGGCTGACGCTCTGACCGCTAAGCCAAACCGGCCAGGGCAAGTTTTACATTTTTTATGAGACTCAATTTATCTACTTTTCTTTGGTTAGTTGTGCTTTAGATGTTATATCTAAGAAACTATTTTCTAGCCCAAGTTATGAAGATTTATTCCTATGTTTTCTTCTGAGAGTTCTGGCTCTTACATTTAGGTTTATGATCCATTTTGCGTTAATTTTTGTGTATGGTATGAGGCAGGGGTACAACTTCATTATTTTTTATGTGCATGTCCAGTTGTCTCTGCATCATTTTTTAAAAGATTATTCTCTCCTTCATTGAATAATCTTGGCACCCTCCTTGAAAATCAATGAAGTATAAATGGTTCTGTTTATGCATTTATTATTATTATTATCATTACTATATTTTAAATTCTCACCTGAGGATAGGTTTATTGATTTTAGAGAGAAGGGATGGGAGAGAGAAAATGTCTTTTTCTGCATCTATTGAGATTATCATATTTTTGTCCTTGATTCTATTAATGTGATATATGATGATAATTGATTTTTCAATGTGTGTTGGGGGGTCCCCACGACTACCTTCAGGATCAATGATTCAAATGGAGGAGTCAGAGGACTCAGCATGTAGTCATACTCACAGCTAAGTTTTATTATAGTGAAAGGATACAAAGCAAAATGAGCAAAAGGAAATAACACATGGGCCAAAGTCCAGAGGAAACCAAGCACAAGCTTCCAGAGCACTCTGCCATTGGAGTCAACATAAGACGTGCCTAATTCCTTCAACAACAGTCATGACAGCATGTGGGAAATGCTGTCTGCCAGGGAAGCTCATCTGAGGCTCAGTACCCAAGGTTGTAATAGGTGCTGTTCATGTAAGCACCCTTTGCCTAGCATGTACCAAAATTCCAGACTCCAGAAGGAAACTAGGTTGTTGTTGATTTTAATCCTCACCCGAGGACACGCCCAGAGGGAGGAAGGGAGAGAGAGAGAGAGAAACATCAATCAGCTGCCCTCTGCACACGCCCCAACTGGGTATTGAATCCATAACCCAGTTATGTACCCAGACTCGAAATCAAACCAGCAACCTTTTGGTGCACAGGAGGACCTTCAGTCAACGGAGCCACTCCCGCCAGGCCAGAAACTAGGTAATTTAGTCTAAACCATATTGCTTGTATAAGCAGTGAGGCACAGTGAGCCACTCTTACCAGCCCTGAAATCTACGTTCCCAGATGCCAGCCAAGGACCAAACTCATAAGCAGGGATATTTAAGGATAGCATTCTCAAGCTTGAAATGTTAACTCTTTTCTGCAAAAGATGTTAAATCAACCTTGTATTCCTGGGATAAATCCCACTTGATCATGGTATAGAATTATTTTATATATTGTTGGATTCAGTGTCCTAGTATTTTGTTCAGGATTTTTGTGTTTAAATTTATAAGAAAAATTGGTCTGTAGTTTTCTTTTCTTGTAATGTCTTTGTCTGGTTTTGGTATCAGAGTAATACTGGCCTCATACAAGGATTGGGAAGTGTGCCCCCCTCTTCTGTTTTTTGGAAAGGTTTGTGGAAGATTGGTATATTATTTTCCTATTGCTGCTGTAAGAAATTACCATAAACTTAGTTGCTTAAAATAACACAAATGTATTATTTTACAAGTCTGGAGATTGAAAATACAAAATGAGTCTAAATGGCTAAAATCAAGGTATAGCAGGGCTGGTTCCTTGTGGTGGCTCCAGGAGAGACTGTTCCTTGCCCCTTCCAGCTTCTAGAAGCTGCTCCAGGAGAGACTGTTCCTTGCCCCTTCCAGCTTCTAGAAGCTGCTCATCGCCCTTTCCTGCAGCCTCAAAGCCACCTGAGTATTAGCTTCTTTCTTATATTCTGTCTCCCTCTGCTTCTTACTTTGCATGGCATTCTAACTCTGACTCCGTCATCACCCCTCTTACAAGGACCTTTGTAATTATATCAGGCCCATTGGGATAATCCAGCATGATCTCCCCAACTTGAGATTCTTAATCACATCTACAAAATACTTTTTGCCGTATAAATTAACATTCGTAGATTCTTCAGATAAAGACATGGCTATCTTTAGGGAGCCATTGTTCAGCCTACCACAACCAGTACTCGTTATTCTTTGAATGTTTGGTAGAATTCATCAGTGGAGCTATCTGGGACTAGACTTTTCTTTGCAGGATGTTTTTAATTATTAATTAAATTAAATAGACATTTAATTGATGTCTTTACTTGTTATAAACCTATTCATAGTTGTAAGAACGAGGCGGTGCTGAGGAACCAGAGGAGTGCAGGGTTATTGAGGGAAAGACCTGCCCGGCTACCTCTCGGGAGAAAATAGCAATGGCTCCTCCAGACTAAGGATTTTTTTTTTTTTTTTTTTTTTTTTATCCTCACCCGAGGATATTTTTCCATTTTTTGTACAGATAGAGTGGGAGGGAGAGAGAGGAAGAGAGAGAGAGTGAGAGAAACATCGACGTGAAGGGACACATCGAGTGGCTGCCACCCGCACGACCAACCAGGGCCGGGGACAAACTGCAACCGAAGTACGTGCCCTTAGCGGGAACCGAACCCGGGTCTCTCCGGACCGCAGGCCGACGCTCTAACCGCTGAGCCAAACCGGCCAGGGCCAGACTAAGGATTTTTAAACTTAGGGCTGGGGTGGGTGGTCATTCAGCCGAGGAGTCATGGTCGTCCTTGATTGGTTGGGGCTGGGATCTCCCAAGTTCTTGATTGGTCAGGGCTGGGGTCTCCTGAAACTCGTTTTTCTTGTGGAGTGACCATTTGCAGTTTTGGATGGGTTAGGGTGGTTCCATCATTCCATTCGCCTGACTGGAGTGATGGGGTTGGTTTCCTGGAATAAGAGGCTTAGGGCAAGGTTAAACGATGAGAGGCTTGGGGCATCAATATGAAAGTAAAAGATTTAAGAGGCTGGGGCAGTAATATGGAAGTTAGAGCTAACAATAGTTTCAGTTTCTTCTTGAGTCAATTTATTGTTTGTTTTTTAGGGGTCATGCTAATTTTCTCTGTATTATTCCAATTTTAGTATATGTGGTGCTGAAGCGAGCATGAGTTATTTTGAATATTTGTGTTTTTCTAGAATTTGTCCATTTAGTCTAAGTTATCTAATTTGTTGGAGTACAGTGTTCATAGTATCCTTCTTCCCCCCCAAGCCTTATTAAGGTAGAAATGACAAATAAAATTGTATATGTTTAAAGTGATGATTTGATGTAGATATGCATCATGAAATTACCACAATCAGGGTAATTAGCACACCTATCACCTCACATAGTTATCTTTGTGTGTGTGTGATGAGGACACTTAAGATCTACTTTCTTAGTAAATTTCAAATATACAACATTACAATGTTGTACATTAGATCCTAGAACTTATTTATCTTATAACTGAAGGCTTGTACCTTTGACCAGCATCTCCCCATATGGTATTCTCTTATAATCTTGTTTTAATTTCTGTGAATTTGATAGTTATAGCCCTTCTTTTATTTCTGATTTTAGTCATTTGACTGTTCTCTCCTTTTTTCTAACTATAAGTTTATCACTTTTGTTGGTCTTTTAAAAAAAAAACAACTTTTGGTTTAGTTGATTTTCTATGTTGTTTTCCTACTCTTTAGTTCATTTATTTCTGTTATATTCTTTATTATTTCCTTTTTTCTTCTTGCTTTGGTTTTTTTTTTAATTAATTTATTTTTGTTGCAGATGTTTCTCCTTTTTCCCCTATTGACACCCTCCTCCTGATCCCACCCCCCTTGCTTTGGATTTAATTTGATTTTTTTTTTCTTAATTTCTTAGAGTGGAAGTTTAGTTTATTGATTTGAGATCTTTCTTCTTTTCTAAAATAGGTATTTGCAGTCTAACCGGTTGAGCATCGACCCATGAACCAAGAGGTCTCAGGTTTGATTCCCAGTCAGGACACATGCCCAGGTTGTGTGCCTGATCCCCAATGGGGGGCATGCAGGAGGTGGCCAATCAATGTTCTCTCTTATCAATGTTTCTTTCTTTCTTTTTTTTTTTTTTATCCTCACCCGAGGATATTTTTCCATTTTTTGTACAGATAGAGTGGGAGGGAGAGAGAGGAAGGGAGAGAGAGAGAGAAACACATCGAGTGGCTGCCACCCGCATGACCGACCAGGGCCGGGGACAAACTGCAACCGAAGTACATGCCCTTAGCGGGAACCGAACCCGGGTCTCTCCGGACCGCAGGCCGACGCTCTAACCGCTGAGCCAAACTGGCCAGGGCTTATCAATGTTTCTATCTCTCTCTCCCTCTCCTTTCCTCTCTCTCTAAAATCAATAAAGGGGAAAAAAAATTAAAATAGGCATTTGCAATTATAAGTCTCACTCTGAGCACTGCTTTAGCTACATTCTATACATTTTAGCCCTTGATATTTAAGAGGGAATGTTTTGTAGGGGTTAAGGTCACAGACTCTGGAACTCAAATTTCCAAGGTTGATTTTGAGCTCTGCTACTTATTAGCTGCTTGACCTTAGGAAAATGACAATTTCTATACCTCATCTGTAAAATCACATGGTAATAATAATAAATACCTCATATAATTGTTGTAAGGATTCCATATATATTAATATACATAAAGGATATAGTAGAACAATGCCCAGAAACTAGAAAAGACTCCATAAGTGTAGCTAATGTTATTTATTCAATGAATATTTATTGAGCCCCCATGATGTAGCAGGGTTGGTTTTCATCAGTGGGGACAAAATGATAAATAAGACAAGGGCCCTACTCTCCTGGCATTTACGTTCCAGTTGGGAGAGACAAACAGGTAGACAGTCAATCAATGGAAGGGCTATAACAAGAAATAAAACAGAGTGATGTGCTAGAGATTAGCTGAGAGGTTACTTTAGACTGGAAGAGAAGATCAGGGAAGGCCACATCAAAATGAAATCTGTCAGGGAAAGAACATGCCAAGCTGAGGGAAGGCTCATGCAGAGGTCCCACAGTAGGAACGAGAATAGGATGGTTTGTTTTTTTAAAATTTTTATAAGAGTTTATTTGAGCCATATTGGCAATATGCTGGGAAGCAAGAACTCAGATGGTCCAGAAAAATGAGAGTTTTGTGGTTTTATACATTTGGAATTAAGGAGGGAACTAAGGAAGATTACATGAAGATGGAGGAAAGCAAGATGGCAAAATCTCTATGAATTACAGGATGGTGTTCTCTTGGGGATAATTACTTCTGTTTGTGAAATTTGTCTGAGTTGTTGAATATAGTTATAGTTTCATTCACTCTCATTGCTGTTTTATATTCCACTGTGCATATATATGTGTGTGTGTGTATATATATATATATATATATATATGTCACAATTTAATTATCCATTCTAGTGTAGGTGGATATTTGGAAAGAGTAAAATGTTTGAGACCCCTCAGAAGGGTGGGGACGAGGGGTAGTCAGTCTGGGTCTTTTTTTTTTATATACTCACTTGAGGACATTTTTACAGTTATTGTCAGATAGAGCGGGGACAAACTGCAACCAAGGTACGTGCCCTTAGCGGGAACCAAACCCAGGACTCTCTGGTCCGTGGGCCGCTGCTCTAACCACTGAACCACACTGGCCAGGGCCAGTCTGGGTCTTTTAAATAGGATTCCAGAGTCTGTCTTTTCCATAACTTGTAGGTGATTGTTTTCCAGTTTGCTATTAATACAAAGAATACCAGCATACTAGGTGCATATTTGTGCATTCATGAGAGTCTCTCTTTATCATAGATTCCTAGAATTGGAATTGTTGGGTTGTATTACATTTTAATTGGAAAACAATGTTATTAGAAAATAAATAAAGGGCCCTGGCCGGTTTGGCTCAGCGGTTAGAGCGTCGGCCTGCGGTCCAGAGAGACCCGGGTTCGGTTCCCGCTAAGGGCGCGTGCCTCGGTTGCAGTTTGTCCCCGGCCCTGGTTGGTCGTGCAGGTGGCAGCCACTTGATGTGTCCCTCTCACATCAATGTTTCTCTCTCTTCTCTCTCTTCCTCCCACTCTATCTGAACAAAAAATGGAAAAATGTCCTCGGGTGAGGATAAAAAAAAAAGAAAAAGAAAAAAGAAAATAAATAAAGGACCATGTGATGAGGAATGGGGCAGCAAGGAACTACTGAATAATAAATTAGAGTTATCATTTATTAAGAGCTTATCATGTGCCTGGCACTCTGCTTCCTAACATGCAAATCCATTATCTTATCCTCATAAAAACACTCTGTTGTGCCCAGGTGGTGGGCTCAGTGGTTGAGTATCGACCCATGCACCTAGAGGTTGCTGGTTCGATTCCCAGTTAGGGCACATGCCCAGGTTGTGGGCCAAAACCCCAGTGCAGGGCATGCGGGAGGTGACCAATCAATGTTCTCTCTCATCAATGTTTCTATCTCTCTCTCCTTCTCCCTTCCTCTATCTCTAAATTCAATAAAGAAAAAAAAATTTTTTTAAATACTCTGTTGTAGGTACTATTGGTATCCATCATTTTACAGCCAAGGAAACCAATACTAAGTTAAGACAACTTGCCAACAAAAGTCACACAGCTCTTAAGTGGTAGAGACTGGATTTGAATCTGGAAATCTTGACTCCACATTCAAATTTAAGCAACCTACCTGGTGTTTGAAGTGGTGGGAGTCTGGAGACTACAAGTGGGAATGGGTCAAAGGCAGACCAAGTACACAATGTCTACTTCTGTCTAGGTGAGAAGAGCTCTGAGATTATAGAAAGAAATATTTAGTTATCACCCATGATGCCTTGAATTTAAGGTTTTAATAAAATCTACACACACGCTCACACACACACCCTGTTAGTTGCCTTATAATTAACATCTTCTTTCCATTTTTCACATTGTAATATACCTTTTAGATGAGTGCCCAGTTACCCCAAATAAAAATAACATCTCTCTCCCTCCTTGCACCAGAGGTGGCCATGTGTCTAAGCTCTTGCTGGTGGGATATAAGTAGACATGTTATATGGCAACTTTTGGAAACAGAAAATAAGAGATTGTTGGTATAGCCTTTGCCTGTTTCTTTATCTTTGTCTGAACTTCTGTCTGGACTGCAGATACTGTTTTGGTGCCCAAGGCAATAGAGGGTGGACCAGGGAGCTAGAAGCAGCCTGGGCAGGGAATTTGATGGAGCAGAGCCCTAGACTGAATGCATCTGATATTTTCTATTCTACTCTATGTTATTTAAAAAAAAAAAAAAAAAAAAAAAGTTGACTATGACCCACTAGACTTCACAACACACTGATGGGTCACAAGTGCCAGTGATCCTGGGAAGGCAAGTTCCAAACAAGGCTCCATACTGGAGAACAGGCAGGGTAGATTCAGTCTTTACGTGTGTTTGGCATCATTTGCTGCTTTCAAGAGTCCGAGGAGAACAGGGCACAGCCTGAAGCGCTCCAGTCCTCGCAGAGATGGAAAGAATATACTGTACTCTGCGGGTATCCAGGAGTTCCATAACGTGGAGACTTTCAGGGCTGAAAGAAACCATGTGCTTCAGTATTTCAAACTTAACCAGTTATAAGAAGTGGCTTGGGAACAGTAGAAGGAGATTAGACTAACTTTCCCCAGAAGCCGTAAACCTGAAGCCAAAATGGCATTAAAGATGTTGCTTTCCCATCCCAGTTTCAGAGAGACTGAAGGTAACTGCCATTAGGCTCAGTGGAGGCTCATTTGTGGAAGACCAATGTATCCAGGCTGAAAAGTTTTATGTAAGTGAGATCTTTGGCTATGGTCATTTGCACATGAAGCAAATAGTCTGGAAGCCTGCTAAGTGTTTGAAAGAATTATATTACCAAAGAAACCACCAGTTTAGCCTGCAAAAATCTGTGATGACTCAACCCCTGAAGCCATTCCCGGGCTCCAAAACCATCACCAGCTGGAAGCAGGTTCTGAATACTGTGTAGCCCCAATAGGCCATCCCCCCAGTGCCCACCTCTCCCGTGTCCGTGGCTGATAATGGAAAAAGAAGAACCTGCCAGAGGGCAGAGCTAGGGGCTATCAGACTGAGAAACTGGTTCTACTGCCAGAGAAGAGAATCCACTCTGCTCCAGCTCAGAGGACGTTAC